TAGGATGTTACCGGAGTGCTCCACCGATGCCGACTCAATGCATATCCAACTTAACAAATAGCGGCGGTAGCGGCCGCAATTGCGGCCGCAACATTGCCGCTACCGCTATGAGATAGCGCTCTGAACTTTGCAGCCTGAAACTTTACGGCCGCAATTCTAAATAGCAGGGCGATATTGCGGTCGCAATTGTATGCAGCAGGTTGCAATAGCGTGGAAACAAATAACCTTAATCAGCCCAGCCCACTATGACTCACACCCCCAACTCAAACACACTCACGCATCGGTTGTAGCCTCTAGGTCTAGATTTAGGCGTTCTTTGAGTGTAATTAAATGTCTATTTATACTCGTTATTCATGATACATGTACTTAAACTTACGTGGGATTATCGGATGTCACTATTGGAACTTATCGTCCGCAATATCGCCCGCTATCCGCAATCCGCTACCTCGACGTCAATCCACTACCAACCCGCTATACGCTACTTATTACCTTGTGCATATCGGTTTACCACGTCTACATCTTTCCTGGATACTGATGATTACAAATCGTTGAGAAATAAAATTGGTACCGGCGGGAATATATTCATATTCAGCATTAGGCTGCGACTCCAGGGCATGTGCATTTTCAGATGAGATTGAGCGTTCGTGCAATCAGCTGCACCAGGAGGCCTATTGCTAGCTGCATTTGCCATTTATGAGAACAGAGAAAAGCTCCATATGTGCAGTGATTCGCGCAATCTCAGGGAAATCTCCATATTCTCTTAGGATAGTATCACTGGGAAGGAATTCATCTCCCTGAGTCGCTGATTCTTTTGCGAGGAGTCAGTGTCATGCACCACTATTTAAAGTTATTTTGTTCCCTCAATTTGAGTTTGACCAGCATTATATATCGATAATAACGTGGTTAGGTCCTCCACATGGTGGTAACTGGTACTTAGGTTAGGTATAAGCATACAAGAATAACTCCTCACAAGTCACAATGCAATATGGTCGATTAAAAAACATTACTGCATCAACTTGTTGGTTTTTTTAGATAATGGATTTTTAGTAATCCAGCCTCTATATCCACGAAGGATATACACAGCCAAAAGGATACAAGAGCACTTAGACTCACACCTCATCAAATAGGAGAATACACAACAACAAAAATATGACCTTGACACATCCCTGCTTTGCGACATCCTCTCTTAAAACGGTCAGATTCGATGAGTGAAAGTCGTCAAGTCACCGCCGCCTCTAGTGCGCCATCGCTGCAAACCTCTCCTGGTGCCATCTTCATCCTCCTCAAGTGAGCTGACACCATGTGTCGCCGGTGCTCACCTTCATCCGTCATCGTCCAGCCAATCAAACGCGATTCAACAGACTTTCTGCCAACGGGCCAGCCAAGTGCGTGGAAGCCCAATTCATTCATACCGACTGATAGTTGGTCATAAAAATTTTGATATAATGACTAACAATCCAACGGTTATATACTAAATAAAAATAACAACCGACTTTCTGCCGAGAAAACGAGATATAACGACTGACCGAACGCTACTAATCTTTAACGGTCTGACGGTCCGACGCAATTTTGGTATTTTTAACAACCCCATGAGACATTAATTTTGGGCTGTGGTATAGTTAGGATCCGCTTTTGTTTCGCTGGACTCCCAGGCTGCTGCCGCCCTTAGGACACCGCTGCCTACGAAACCACTTCCGCTGGATGCACCTTCTCCCTGCCGAGGATCAACTTGTTGGTTAAGGCAATCAGCTAACGCTGCAAGCTAAGACAATGAACATGTGGTAGAATTCAGCAATCTTATTGTATAAGTTTTTGTTTAATGGATTCTTGCTGCTCTGAAGATTTATTATGACCATCCAGGTGTCGCACTTCTCACTTGTCTAGATTCTTTCCCCTCCTTTTATAAGAGCATCTTGGCCTTATCAGCCTAGTAAGGGTTAGTTGACTTTTTTCCCAATAACTTTCTGCTCATTTTGCAACTTTCCTATGTGTCAATCAAGAACGGAAAAATGTCCTACTCTTGCAATAGGAAAGAGGACAGAAACCGAAGTCTTTGGAAGGGGAATCTCCAAACTTTTAATAATGGAATGGTTAATTGAATAATTTCTCTTTCATGCAAAGAAATATGGACCACCCTTGTCTCTTAAAATTTGTGAAAGTACATAATTTTCATAATCCACTACGAGAGAACAAATTTGTAACTAAGTCATAAAGAAAATATAAACTTAAATGGTTGAGAGTTTTGCTGGCATGCATCTCTACTTTTGTTCCTCAAGTACATTACATGCATAGATGTTCACATACATGCGCATACACTCACTTGCGGACCCAGGGGCCACAAACATGCGCGCACACTCACTGGCAGGCCTAGGGTCCAATGACCCTGGTCACCCGCCCGGGCTCCGGCACCGGCACATGTTGAGGTATTCGTCACATCACACTCTATGGCAAGCTTAAAAACACGTGATCTCATCGGCATCTTGAGCTTCGCCTAGACTCTATTCAAGCGTTGGGTCCTCTACTATGCACACTCACACTTATAGACCCATGTGAGCACAACCTACCCCTATGAACGATTTTGAAAAACTAAGCCAGCAATAATCTTAAGATGATGAAGTTACAATAGACACCTCACTGACCACACATGATGACTTGGGAGACTCAAACCTAGGTAAACAGGTTCAGTGTCAAGGAACCTAGCTTAGTTACTTCTCTTTGTATGTGCAATGTTTTATTGCCCATGTGGACTAATAAATCACCAAGCATGCCAAATATCAATGTTCATCACTATTTGAGCCTCGAACTTCTCTACTACTGTGCAAAATATGTAGTCGGTTCTTGTGTCTTAGGTTATAGAATGCTACTTCATTATTCTCTATATTTTGTTTTATGAGCTTATTTATCTAAAATTGATGTTTGGGGGCCCGGACTTTCATGTATATTTTCTGTGTCCTTTGAAATGATCCGAGAATAAAATGCAGTGTGGTTGACATGTGACGAGGTTATAGAATGATAGATTGACTGCCATTCTATTATACTTTGGTAGGTAAAACTTCATAAAAAAACAAGGTGAAGGGTGTAGTAGTTTTATTTTTTTTATATAATTTAAATGCCAATTTTTTCTTGCAAAAAAATGCCAATTTTATTTACAAAATGTTTGCATTACTGTGACATACCATCCAGTTTGGATTAGTGGCTCACGTGTATGTTGACGTGAGGTTGTGAGGGTTTAGTCACATCTTGATTGTTGATGGTGGGATTAGACCAACATATAAGTCTCACAGAGTCCAAAACACCACCCCGGGTTAACCCTTTTACGTGAAAACGAAAACAAAAATTTGAGTGAACCATATACTCTTGCCAAAACGCTTACATTATCTTATGTGAAATACCATTCTAACCGAATAGAAATTCGCCTCAACTTGTTTGTGAAAGTCTAATAGTACGTCTTGAAACAATATATTTTGATGGGTTCTCAGAAGTATCTATTTCTCTTTTGGGCATGACAGCAAGCTAAAAACATATTTTTCTAGGCCTTGCACCAAAAAGTTAATAGAAATGATAAACTTTCAAATAACCAACTAGGATGGACAAAACCACGATTTCGTGAACAATGTGGAAGATACATTTTAGGTGATATACCTTTCAAATCATTTTGGTTGGCATTGTACAAATCCCAATGTAGTTGGATTTTTAAATAAAATCTAGGAATCAAACTTTAACTTCTGGTGCAACCAAAGCTGAAAAAACATCACATGAATAAGTTTTCGTTGACGCTGAAAGTCGAGAATTATCAGGTGGGAACACCTTTTCAGTGGAATTATGCAAATATCTTCACAAAATATGGATTTTAATAAATTCTAGAGAGAGAAAAATACACATGATATTACACGACCATGTAAAGTAATTCAAGTATAATTTCATTTGTTCAAACAAGCAGCTAAATGGATAGTGGTAAAATGCCTAGTTTTTTTCTGTACTTTTATTCACTATATGTTGGTCATATATCTCACAAACGAAATCAAGTTTGATATCTGAAAAAGGCACACACGAGTCCTTGTAATAGTTTTAAATCTTCTATCATGCCCTATGGAGAGGTACCAAGATTCCATGGAATAGGGGTACCAAGGATGGCAAGTGGCTTGTAGTTGTCGCTAGGTTCAGTTCTTGCGACTGTTAGATCATTGTTCACTGGTTATTCATGGCATGATAATTGATATGGCGCCTCAAGTTGGTCCTCCCTACACTCTCTGTTTACTTGAACTTATCAGCCGACTTATCAGTCATGGTAGAGTGTTTTCCTCTCGTAACAAAATAACATCAGCCAGCTTATCAACCGTAGAAACACACAACATTCAATAGGGAAGGAGAAGAATGAATATCATCCTTTTAACACCATGCGAAACACCTAATTGTGAGCCTACATTATAATTTATTGGATAGGAACCAAGAATGGTTTCATCGTGGGCCTGGGACTCCCTTCTGCAGCTAAAAAGATTGACCGACTACATGGTGCCCAATTTGGCAGCAAATTTATGATCTTTAGTTACCAATTGGACATTTCTTGCGCCAATGTTTGCATAAATGGAAATGCCCTGTTCTACCCAAACTCTTAATCTGGCGCCTTAGACCAACTCGGCCATCTCATCAGATGTGTCTGTTCTACCCAAACTCTACTGGACTAGGTAGCCCCTAACACAAATATCTGTTCAAACAGTGTAGTATTATGGATAGAGCTAATACACCAGAGTCTAAAAATTAGTTCAGATAACCACTAAATCAACTGCGTCCATTTCTCTAAACTATCTCTTGCAGACTAATACACTACATCCAAGAGAGTTCGGACAAGCATATCAAGGACATAATATAATGCTAATCTTATTTACATTTTTTTTTCCTTTCACAGTGAACACGAGAGATTATAGAGGGAATCATAGAATACACAATCAACTACATACAAAATTTCCTAAGATTATCAACATGTTCAGTTGCGCAACTGCTCACAAGGATTCTGCAAAGATGAGAGAAGATATTCAGATATACAGAAATCATTTGTTATATTTCTACAGTCAACTTGAGTATGTGTGTATGTTGGAATCTTGTCATAACAAAAAGTGGATTATATTCTATCCAAATGCTTATAAAAAATCGCATGATTGAAATGAATGATGGAATGAAGTGGTTGGAAGGCTCTGATTTCAGAGAATAAATGTTATATCTACTCATTACAAGTTTCCAAAATAAAGTACATAAGCACTGCAAAAATTGAATTAAACTGATCACTGTTTCACGAATCCTAATTAATTATTTACTTGCTGATGAAAAATGCAAGTGTTGTTCCTGTTATTATTATTTATGTTTGCGACCAGATAGTTGTAAACAATAGACTTTCATATGCTATTTATTATTCAAGAGAATTTAAGGATCATCAAAAGCCTATGATCAGTAAAAGTTTCATGTCTACTGTCTAATAATAAATGTTTTGTACATTGCTCAGAAAAATTATCAGCTTTTGTAAACATAGGAATATTATATTATGGAATCGTACACGTGAAAACCAGTTACAGCAGTAATAACTTACCCTTTATCCTTTTCTTGTCAACAGCTGTTTCTGTTGTTGATCTTCGGGAAACATCTGCCAGCGATATAGGTGTTACTGGGGGTGAGGAAACTTCGCTGCTCTCCCTGCTATGCCTAGCCTCCAACAATTTGTTCACAGTAATAATAGGAGTCCGTTGACTATTTGAAGGTATGGAATAACTGCGAGTCATGGCAGCAGGTGGTCGTGGAAGTGGCGATGCTGTATGTGATGGGGGTGAGACACGAGTGGATACATTAGGCATCAGCCGCCTTGAAACCAGAGGGCCAGAATATCCAACCAAACCAGGATGCATGGTGCCTACATTTGCTGGAGGCCGGGGCAGCTCATGCAGCTCACTTATTCTGGGAGTCGTTGTTGGGAGCGAAGTGACCCTAGGTGTAACTTTTGGAGGCACAGATGACTGCCAACCTGGGCCATGAGGTCTTGTTGGCAACACATAGGGAGGGTGCTTCCATGACGGTTTGCGATCAGTTGCAGAAAACAGGGGGTTGCTCAATCCTACCTTGCTTGGAATTGGGCCAGAAAAGGCCTTCATTTTCTTAAAATCGGTAGTGGAGTAGGAATAAACTAGTGGTGCTGATATCCCTTCATTACTTGATGGCATCTTAACAGGTCCACTATGCATGGAATTCGGCATGAAATCTTTACCCAGTGGAGAGGAATGCCACAAATTTACTGCCACATGAGATTTACTTTCAGGTTGATCTGAATGGGGCGATTTGTTGGCAACTACTGAAGCAGGGTTCTTGTCATCAGCTGGCGTCGGTAGTTTGTAGGAGTGAACAGTTCTGTTTAACAAGTTCGTTTTCCGAAACCTCGTAGATGGATCAGGCACATTCTCAGCAAAAATTGGTGCTGATTGGGTACCAATCTCAGGCTTCATATGAGGAACTGCTAAAGTCGCCTTTATTTCTTCAGCATTTTCCTGTATAAACATGTGTCAGTTAAAAGAATTTCAGGACTCAAGATGTCATCCAATTGGGACATAAATGACTGAACTGAGGCATGAAATACCAACAAGGACTCAGCCTAGAAAATACAGATATTCAAAATTCCAAATAGAATTATCACAATTTTATTAAGACTTACATAACAAGGATTTCTGCATTAATGTCCTCCATCAGATTTGATATTATACCAATACCAAAGGAGATAAAAAAACATTTTAGATTGACTTCATTGTGCTAACCTGATTTAGATTTTGTTTTGTACCCCCCTTGTCCCAAAAAACATGTCACTTTAGGATTCATAATGACATGAATCCCAAAAGCATGTGGATCTTATTACTTAAAAAGGTTTAGAGTAAATCCCCACATAATGTTTGGTCATTCTTTGTACATGTTTACCCTAGAGGATTCATGTCATTATGAATGAGAATGAACAAATTTATCACAAAAAATGTACAGCACATAACTAGTGAGACTACCTGCTCCTGTTCCTTCAGAGGCCTTGGGGAACTCACTGGATGAGCTTGATCCAACTATATTAACAAATAAATAAATGTTTGAAAGTTTAGTATGATAAGCAAAATGTAGGAGATAGAACAGGCACTTTATAACAACATAATAACAACAACAACAAAGAAGTTTATTCCCAAGCAAGATAGGGTAGGCTAGAGATGAACACAGCACAAATGCAGAACCAATAAGCTTTGATTGGACTAAGAGCATCTCCAAAGGTCTTTCTTAAACTCACTCTCTAAATCTTCATTTGGAGAGCCATTTGAATCTTCTCTATATCTTTCCAGCCTCCAACAACTTCTCTATATCTTGTGCGCACTCTATAGAGACAAACTCGCTCTCGATCTTTGGCTAGCGAGAAATCCGGAATAGAAGATGGCAATATTTGGATATCTAATTAAATAACTGTAGTTGTTCTAACTTAGCTGAAAAGACATCACAAACATTAAAAGGTGCAACTCAAAGAAAGCAGTATAAATCTTCTTCACATGGTTTACATTGATGTTTCTTTAGCAATATGCAATTATTAGCAACTCCACTTCTATTATGTTGCAATTAAGTGTTAGTTCAGGTTCTCTGATTGTGCCTAAAAGAAGGGAAAGTAAGAGAAGAGTATTGGAAGCTATCACACAAACCAGCAATGGATCCTAGATATCCAGGGCGCTGTCAGTTAGTGCAATTGCTTATTATCTTGCTCTCTGGGATAACTTGCTGAGATGCAGCTGCATTTAGATCATCAGATGTTCCAGATACGCATAAATGGCGCCTATCAAGTCGGCTAATGAATCTTTATTTCAAGGTGCTGTTAGTTTTGGTCCTTGGGAGCACATTTGGAAACCCTGGGCACCCAGAAAATGTTGTTTCTTCCTCTGGCTGGTGGTGGCGCATAATAGCTGTTGGACAGACGATCGCTTGGCACAACGAGGTTTCTCTCATCCTGAGGTCTGCCCACTTTGTGATCAACAATCAGGACCATCCAACACCTTTTGGTGTCATGCGTGTTTGCCAAGCAATTCTGGTACTTCCTTTTTTGCAGAAAGTTGGGCTTGCTGTACTCTGCCCTCAACCCTTGGAGATTTCTTTTGATGATCGCCTGATCGGTGGTGCAGAACTTGCCCTATTGTGAGTGGTCCCATTCAATAGAGCCTAAACTCGCTCATCATATTTGGTTCATGAACTTTGTAGAAACAAAGAAATAACTGTGTTTAATGATGCTTCTCCGAGCTTATGTCCAGTCCTATCTATAGCTGGGAAGCACAGCTCTGGGGCATGGCAGGTGCTAAGGGGCTCTATTTCCTTGCTTCCTTTACCCCGGCTAGCAAATTTTCATGATCTCCTCTCTGGCTAGCTGTTTTGTCTGTGGCGTGTCTAGGGATGGGAATGGGTTGACCGGCCCCAGCCTTGGACCCATCCCTATGGCCTCAAGGCAACTTTAGGGGCCATGGGTCGACCCATTTCACTTAAAGGCTGTCCTTCCAAACCCAGCACATCATAAGCTTGCAAGTTTACAATGATTTTAATTTTATCTATTTTCACCTACAAAATATGATATTCCTCGATCTACTTCCAAGAATAGACATGTTTTTTAAAAGTTATGACCAACTGTGCTTATTCAGAAAAATAAAGATCAACAAATTTAAAAAAAAAAAGATTGTTATGTGACGATTGGGTCGACCCATGTTACCTATTGGGACACTAGGTTCTAGCGCTATCGGCCCATTTCAGACTTTGAGGCCACCCCCTATGACCCATTGGCCTTGCTTTTGTGGGTCGGGTCAACTAGCCAATGGGCCGCCCCAGCCCATTCCCATCCCTATGTGTTTGTAATCATTTTGCTGTCTAGGGGTGTGTGTGTGTGTGTGTGTGTGGGGGGGGGGGGGGGGGGGCAGGTGGGTCACCTACATCGCCTGTTTGTATCTCTTTTCTCTCTTATTAATGAAATGGCATGCACCTCTCCTGTGTTATTCGATAAAAAAACTAATGAAGCAAGTAAGTGTTAGAGTGTTTCCTTCCTCATGAAGGGATTAAACCAAACCAAGTTATTATTAAGCTAAAGGTTAACTGACCTCAAAGGAACTTATTAAAAAATGGCAACATATTTAATCATCCATAAAAAGGAAGCTGAGCTATCTCAGTTGGTCAAGGGTGTGGATCTATGCCCAGATCACCCAGGTTCAAGTTCTTGCTGAGGCGAATTTGGGTGCCTATTTTCTTCTTAATAAAATGCCACCTAGTTTCTCCGGGTTGGTCTAGTTTTAAGTAATCATCTAAAAGTTTCTCATATTGCGAGATGATGCTAGAATGATTAATCACTAAGAACAGAGGATGGACCGAGTTCAGTAAATGAAACTTAGCTACATAATGTCAAATGAATCGATCAGCTGGAAAAGAACTTACATCCATTGGACTTCTGGAAGTGAGGAGGTCCTTGTCCCTGTCATTTATCTCGTAATCAAAACTTAACTCACTGCCATCACTATGATTATCCTGGTAAGAGCTGTAATCATCAATATTACTGTCATCATCCAGTCCACTGAAGTGGTAGTCAATGTGCTGCTTCTCAGCAACTGCTTTGACACAAGGCTCCAGAGACTCTAGATGCTTCAGCCCTTTCCTGAAAAAACTCAACTGAAAATCCAAATAATAGTAAGATAGTTGTAGTCTTTACCACTTTATAGGAGTCATCATTAGTTGTAGTTCTGTGTGAAGACATGTTAAGCTACCTGAGCAGCATGATGACGAGCAGCCTGTGTCAAAATACTTAGAAATTGACCTTGCTTTAGTGATTTCAAGCGAAATATAAACAATGCTGCCTCCTCTTGGTACTCAAGAAACGAAGTTTGCAGTTGTTCCGATGAGAATGATTCGTTTTCGGGGTGCCTCGATCGCCCTCCTTTCTCCCCATAGGCTGCTCGCATGGCTTCATATTCCGCTCTGAAATGGAAAAAAAATATTTACAAGGAGGAAAAGCACATATTGTAAAATGGATAAGATAACATTCAAGAAACGTGTACCTTTTCTGATCACATTGGTCTTTCATTTCCTGAATCAGTAGGAAAGAAATGTAAGGACAGCATGTCACATGATGGACTAAACTAAGTGTGAGGAATTAAGTTTTTCTTTTATTTGGAGATGATGATAAATGCAATATGAATAACAAATTAGCAAAATAACAATATTTGAAGATGAGCTCACAATTGCATGAAGTTGAGAAAAGCATAATCAGGGAGATCTAACCTCTACAACTTGTAGCTCTTTCAGAAGGGACTCTGATGGATTTGTGATTGTATTTATAATATTTGTACGCTATAAGGAAAGAAAAAAATACTAGTAAGCATACAGATTATACATTAAATAGTATCATTGATTGAAGAATATGTTATGATACAATTTTACAACAGTGTCAAAGGACTTTACATAGCCATCCACAAACTTCTGTAGTTCAAATTGGGCCTTCCCTAGCATCATCAGCACTTTACCTGCAGGTAGGACTAAATGAATAGAACGAAGAAGGCCTGATACTTCTTAAAATAAGGATGTATCTCTAAAAAACAAACGTGAGAATTATGTTTTCTATGTTCATTCAAAGCTAGAAGAAAAGTATCATCAACTAACAAGAGTTTTCAATGAAGGATTTATTAGAGAATAGTCAATAGACTCTATTATCTTGATTACAGGGGTGATTACACACATATATATAGGAGAGAGAGGGGAGCCCAAAGGGCCTAATCAGCCAGAGGTGGCGCATAGGGAGAAGAGATTACAGTTGGCATATAATTAATTCTAACATCCCCCCGCAAGCTGAACGTCGGTAGAACGAACGTTCAGATTGGAGCGAAAATCGGTGAAGACGGAGGAGGGTAGTCCCTTGGTGAAGAGATCAGCGAATTGCGACGTGGTGGGCACATGGAGAACACGAACAGCACCAATGGCCACCCGTTCACGTACAAAATGAAGGTCGATCTCCACGTGCTTAGTGCGCTGATGTTGAACAGGGTTGGAGGAGAGGTAGACGGCGCTGACGTTGTCGCAGTAGACGAGGGAGGCGGTCTTCAGGTGGTGGTGAAGTTCCTGAAGAAGCTGCTGCAGCCACACGACTTCGGCGACTCCGTTGGCGACGGCGCAGTATTCGGCCTCGGCGCTGGACCGAGAGACCGTGGGTTGCCGCTTGGATGACCAAGAGACAAGGCTGCCACCGAGGAAGACAGCATATCCTGAGGTGGAGCGGCGCGTGTCAGGGCAACCAGCCCAGTCAGCGTCGGTGTACACAATGAGCTGAGTTGGTGCAGAACGGGGTATGATCAAACCATAGTCAACGGTGCCCTAAAGGTACCGAAGAATCCTCTTGGCTGCAACCAGGTGAACTTCCCGGGGGTCATGCATATAAAGGCAGATTTGTTGAACAGCATAGGCAATGTCAGGCCTTGTGAAAGTCAAGTACTGCAGGGCGCCTGCAAGGCTGCGGTAGGCGGTGGGGTCTGCCACGGGAGGACCATTATCTGCAGAGACTTTGGCACAAGTGTCAACCGGAGGGAGCAAGGTTTGCGATCACTCATGCCGTGTCGACCAAGAATGTCCGAATGTATTGTCACGAGAAAGAAGGAGAGTGTCCTTGGTGCGCTTGAACTGCCACGCCGAGAAAGTGGTGCAGAGGGCCAAGATCCTTCATGGCAAATTCATTCTTCAGAGCCATAATCACACGGTGGAGGAGCTGCTCGGAGGAGGCAGTGAGTACAATGTCGCCCACATAGAGAAGTAAGTAGACCATCTCCGTGCCACGGCAATATATGAACAGAGAGGTGTCTCGACTTTGCTTCAAAGAATCCGAGAGATGAGTGGGAAGGAGGCAAACCGGGTGTACCACACGCACGCACGAGCCTGCTTTAGTCCATAGAGGGATTTGTGGAGTCTGCACATGGTCCGGAAAGGCGTAATCAAGAAATCCAAAGTGGGTTGGGAGCAGAGATGCCTCTCGACAAGGTACCGTGGAGGAATGCGTTCTTCACATCAAGGCGATGGATGGGCCAATCCCGAGAGTGAGCCAAGGTGAGGACAAGTCACGAACGATGGCGGGCTTCACAACGGGCTGAATGTCTCATCGTAGTCGATGCCGGACGCCGAGTGAACCCGCCAAGAACCCAATGAGCCTTATACCTGTCCAGAGGAGCCATCAAGATGAAACTTGTGCTTGAAAATCCACTTCCGGTGACCACATTTTTCTTGGCGGCCGGGAACAAGTTCCCAAGTGTCATTGTCCAAGAGGGCGGTATGTTCTTCTTCCATGGCCTGCGCCCGGTGAGGATCGGCGAGAGCATCACGGCAGAGCGCCTGATAGGGAGAGACAGGGGCCTCGGTGTGCATAGCAAGTCGAGGTCGCGCAGTACCGATCTTCCAGCGGGTTGCCATGCCATGAGTATTGGCAACCGGGGGAATGGGAACAGCTCCGGGCGGAAGAGGAGGATCACTCTTGACATAGCGCGGCGGAGATGGGACCATCTTTGGAGCGGCGAGGCGCGCCCGGGGGGACGCAGGGGTCAGTAGGGCGCGCGAGTGTAGACGTGGACCACCGGAGGTTTGTCAAGCGGAAGTCGAGGGGGCCGCCAGGCGCTTCTGCTGCGCTGAACAGGGCGCCGCCGTGGTGCTCGCTTTGTGGTGGTGCAGGCACCGCCGTGCGCGCATTGTGTTCTGGAACAGGGGGCCTTCTTTGCATGCGGGACAGGAACGCCGGGTGCTCGAACTGGGCGCCAGGGGCGCCGGCAGTGCGGCGCGAGGTGACCGGCGAGGCCCGCGGGGGCACGACAACACCCGATGGCCGGGGCGCCGTGAAGCCAGGAGGGGCCGGCCTGGGCACCGAGGTGCCTAGACCCGGCACAGGACCTGCAGGAGAGAAAGGAGCTGGCAGAGGGTCGTCAGCAGTTAGAAAATCCAGCTCGTGAGTAGGTGGCGAGGGCCGGCAAAGGCTGAAAGGGAATGTTGTTTCATCGAAGACAACGTGGCGGGATATGATGACCCGGTTGGAGGTGAGGTCGAGGCACCAGTAGCCCTTGTGATCGTGGGAGTACCCTGTAAACGCATGCCGAGGAGGAGCGGGGGGCAAGTTTGTGGGGTGTGGTGGCGGTGAGGTTGGGGTAGCAGGAGCACCCGAAGGCCCGGAGATCATGGTAAGAAGGGAGAGTGCCATAGAGGGCGAAGAATGGGGTGCTCATATTGAGAGTTTTGGTGGGGAGGCGGTTGATGAGGTGGGTGGCGGTGGCGAGAGCATCGGCCCAGTAGGATGGGGGCATAGATGCCTGGAAGAGGAGTGTGCGAGTGATGTTGGCGGTGCGAAGCATGCGCTCGGTCTTGCCATTCTGGTGCGAGGTGTAGGGGCAGGACATGCGGAGAGATACACCTTTGGCAAGAAAGAAGGTGCGAGACGCAGAGTTGTCAAACTCACGGCCATTGTCACATTGCACAGATTTGATGGTGCGTCCGAACTAGGTGAGCACGTAGGCGAAAAAATTGGAAAGAGTAGTGAAAGTATCAGACTTTAGCTTGAGGGGAAAAGTCCAAATAAAATGCGAGCAATCATCAATAAGGACAAGATAATATTTGAAGCCGGATACACTAACAACCGGTGACGTCCACAAGTCACAATGGATCAAGTCAAAATTATTGGATGCTCTAGACAAAGAAGTAGAAAAAGGCAAGCGAACATGGCGCCCGAGCTGACAAGCATGACATAAGGAGCCATCGCCAGGTGTGCTGCAGATAATGGAGGACGACTTGGCGAGGTGCTGGAGGGTAGATGACCCAGGGTGACCGAGACGGCGGTGCCAAGTAGTCGATGAAGGAGTGGCCACGAGAGCGCAGGAACCGGAGGGTGACGACGGGAGCTGTAAGGTGTAGAGGGGTCCCGAGCTGTCACAGCGAAGGAGGAGGTTCCTGGTACGAAGATCCTTCACAGAGACACCAAGTGGGTCAAACTCGACAGAAACAAGATTATCAGAAGTAAATTGTCGGACAGATAAAAGGTTTTTGATGATGTCAGGAGCAACAAGAACGTTGTTGAGGCGGAACGGGCCAGGGAGGGTTGAGTAGCCGGAGCCCACAACCGAAAGAGTGGCACCGTTTCCAACAACGATGGAGGAGGGAAAGGAAGAGGTAGGGGACATGGTGACCATACCAAGGTTCGCAGCAATGTGCGAGGAGGCGCCCGAGTCAATGACCCACTCCGAAGAGCTCGGTGGTGGGGTGAGGGACACGGTGCTGAAGGCGTTGGCGAGGTTCTCCGGGTTCCAGGGTGCCCAGGCCGGAGGAGGCGCCTGAGGGGGCGCTGCGTACGCCTGAGGAGGCGCAGCGTAGTACGCCCCAGGAGCCGGAGGGTAGAAGGTCGGTGGCACACCAGCTGCCATGGCTTGATGGGGCGCGCCAACGCGAGGAGAGGGGCCACGGGGACCGCCAGGGGTGGAGCCGGGCCACATATGGATGGACCCGGTCCACGGGTTGAGCAAGGAGGGCCACTGAGCAGTGCCCTGCGTGCTGCCCGTCCGGCGAGGGTCAAGCCGAGCCACCTGGCCTCGCCTCGACCATGTCGGTCATCGCGGCAAATGTCGGCCATGATAGTTGGCGAGGGCCCCCCGCCATTTTGGGCCGGCCGAGTAGGGCGCGGAGGACAAAGGCGACGCGCTGCGGGGGGCGGTAGGCTTCGAGGCGACGAGGGCCGAGGCGGCGCCGATGGAGGAGTCATGTTCACTCGGCCAGCGCATAAGTCAAGACGCGACGTCGGTGAACGACGGAACGGCTTCAGCGGGTGACGAAGCCGAGCCATGAACCGAAGCGCTTCGTTCAGTCCACGCGCAGACGTTCATGACGAGTGTGCGGTCTGGAATCGCTCACCAAGATCGCAAGCGCGTCGGCCATGCCCTTCGACTTGCGGCGAGAGTCATCGATGGAGAGGCGCCACGAGAGAGTGCGGAACTCGGCGCCGAGAAGCATGGCGTGGGACTCACGATTGTTCAGAACTGCTTTGCCGATTCCGAGCCATGTTGCCCGAAAAGCGGCGAGGAGGCCGTCGCGCTCGTGGACGACGTCCAAGAGATCGGCGGAGACGGTGTTGTAGAGCCAGGAGAGAACGACGCAGTCCACGCGCGCCCACGCCGGATCGTAGAGGTGGGAGGCGTCGCTGAGGACGTGATCCTTCAAGGCGAAAACGACCGAGGATGAGGAGCACATAGCCACGCCACTTGGAGTAGTTGGAGGAGTTGAGGTCAAGAACGATGGGAATGAGGTTCTTGATGTTTTGGACGGCGGCGGCTTGGTCGTGGAGGTGAGCGAGGGCAGCAACCTCGGTGGTGAAGGAGCGGACGCCGCCGTCGTCGCAGCGGATCCTCCTCGTCGCGGGCGGACTTCGGCGCGGAGGCGATCCCCTTTAGGGGCAGCGGCTTCTTTGTTCGAGGAGGTCCGGTCACTGCGCTCCTTGTGGAGGGCCTCGACGGCGGCGCGGCCGCGGTCCTGGGCCGCGGCGGCGGACTTGAGGAGGTCGGCCTCCGCCTGGAGTTCCTGGCTGCGCTTCGCGTTGGAGGAGCGGAGGGAGGAAGCTTCGTCTTCGAGCTTCTGGGCGGCGGCGGCGGCTTCATCGCGCAACTTAGCCGCGGCGGATGCGCCCGAGCTCGAGACGCCGAGGCTATGGCGCGCAGCAATGGGACGGGACGGCGCGGGATTGAGGAGGCGGGCGCCAAGCGCAAGCAAGCGGCCAGGCTGGGATTGAGAGGCGGCACGAGGCGAGCGCCGATAGGAGCAGAAGCAGAGGAACGAATCTAGACTGATACCATATTAGAGAATAGTCAATAGACTCTATTATCTTGATTACAGGGGTGATTGCACACATATATATATAGGAGAGAGAGGGGAGCCCAAAGGGCCTAATCATCCAGAGGTGGCGCATAGGGAGAAGAGATTACAGTTGGCATATAATTAATTCTAACAGGATTTGGCAATTCTCCTTGCAACTATCAAGAGATAAAGTGGACACTAGTATGGCAAAACTGGATGACAAGTCTGCCACGATGTCAAAAAATGAACACCCTCAAAATTGGTACTGGAAGTAAAAAGGAAGAAAATATCTAAAATAAACTAAGATTACTAGTAGATCTTAAAGACCAGTTCATGATTCAGTAGTTCACGTAAATGGATTGCTCAACAGGCTTCTATCCAAAATCCAAATCCATTGGATAATATTCCATTCTTCCAAATCCCATTTTACTGCCTCCTCCTGTTTCAGGTTCAGCCAACACCTGTCTCTCTTTATACAGGGGGCTGAGTAGATGAAAATTTTGTTTCGGGGCTTATCCATACAAAAATGACATACAGCGTTCGAGAAAGAAATGGACATGCTGAAAAAATAGCATAGTTGGCTCTAAAACACGAAACTTAATTTGCTAAAACGCACTCGTAAGAACAATTTCAGACCACAAAGTTTCCATATCATACGTGCTTACAGATCCACACAATCACTCACCACTTTCATCATCATCATAGTTCAATGCAGCTTTTTCAAGCAAGCAAGTTCCCATTTCATCCATGGCTTCTGCAAACTCTGCAGGAGTGGATTACATGTGATTGTAAGAATATGACAGACAAAATATCTGTTGTGGCGATAAGGGACAGTTTTATTTCAGTATAAGTAAAAATAGCAATTACCATATACACTATTTGTTGTTGCAGCTGCAGCTGAAAGCAAGCTATCGTAACAGTTCCTCATATCTTCCATTTCCTGCAAAGTACGATTCCATGTTCATGTTACAAAAGGTGGGTTAAACAATTTTAATTTCCATTAAAGGACAGGTGTAGGCCCCAAATCTTCTCTTTCTATTATAATTCACATGAGAAAGTGAATGACGTGATTTTTTCTGAAATTTCAAATCATGGATCAGCTTGTAGTCCTGTAAAACTTGTACCATATAATAAACTTCAATCACTTTCGTCTGATCCAACATCACATTCATGTCTGAACAGCTTTCACCATAATTTATCCATTAAGATGCAGACAGTAAGGACAGGAACTCTCCTAAATTTCAGAAAACGTATTTCCACACTGTTATTAATATAATAACGCCCAGCAGGCAACGCTAGGTTAAACAAATGATCTGTTCTTCTCATAACGACTTTGAATTGCTGACTGCGAGACCAGTTCTAGATAGCTACTTTCTGCGACCCAAGCTTCCTGCCGTGGACTTTGACCAGGAAGAAACAGGTCAAGTGCTTCTGAACTCCAAATCTCTAATGGCCACAATAACACACGAAAGCGAGCAAATCCACACATTTCGCTGATTATATCCAAATAATATATGAACAATTTACTAAGAAGAATTCCCCCAGTCTAAAGGAAAAAGGGCAACCCATATACGAAATAAACACAAAAAAGGATTCATCGCTCAGTACAAATGTATTAGCGAAGATCATTTGATCCTAAAAAATCACCGTGGCCCATGAACAAGTCACTGCGGTCAACACGGCCATGAAAATCCGCGGCATAAGCAGGGGGCGGCATCGCGGCTCCTCGACGAGCACGCACGATCCGACTTTGGCGCGTAACCACACGGCAAACCAACAGCACGGCAATAACCCGGCAGGAACGAAGAGAGGCGTTCGGGGCGGAGACGAGACCTGGGCGGCGTAGGTGAGCTCGTCGAGCTCGGCGGGTGGCGGGCGGTGGTCCTTCCTCTCCCTGTGGTGGTGGTGGTGGGCGAAGCCCCGGAACCTGCGCAATGGCGATTTCATCCCCTTCCGCCTTGAATCGCCAGGCCGGAATCGCAACACCGAATCGCAGGCCCGCGACGATGATTAGTAGGAGAGGTGGGGAGAGGGGAGAAGGCGAGGCTGGCGTTCTTCGTTGATGCAGCTCTCGGGCTTTGGAATTTTGGGACGAAAACTGATGGGAAGAATAGTCAGTCGTCGGAGAGGGGGAGTCTTTATGGCGTGGTTTTTGGAGAGATAGAATAGATGGATTCATTTTGGTCCATGTTTGACCAAAAGTAACAAGCGTGATCCTGCAAAGTGCGAGATATATGGTATAAATAAAAGGAGGTTTGTAACTAAATAATTTTTCAAAATCGGAGCAAAACCGTTTCACACTTTCTTTGTAAAAATGTGAAACGGTTTCACACTTTGTAAAAAAGTGAAACTGCGATTACCTAGTTTCGCCTATTTCGCTCCACCTTTTGTCAGCTCCGTCTTCCTTCTCCTTCCGGGTACAGGCAAGCATCCTCGCGTGGCGTCCCCTGAACTCCTTCCCAACGCATGGGAGGGCAAGCTCTGCAAAGCGGCACACGTGAGTAAGCTCCTCGTGGTCCAGACAGGCAGGCAAGGGAGCTCCTCCTTGGCGGCGCGGGCGAGGGAGCTCCTCCCCGGTGTGGATGGGTCGGCGAGGGAGCTCCTCCCCTGCAGTGCGGGCGAGGAGCTCCGATCCTCCCAGCACGAACTGTAGATGTGCACGAGGAAGAAGATGGCGTGGCTAACATCTGGGTCCCGGATACAGTTAGATAACGGATGGAACCTGAGAGGTTGTTTGGTTGTCCACCATAGTTCGCCTTAGCAAACCTTCGGCAGCCACGTTAAAATAGTCATTGTTTGGTTGAATAGTAACATTTGGCAGCCACTGGAAAAGCCAGTTGGTTCATTGTATTCACGCCACACTTGTTGGGCCAATTTATAGATGTCCATGCGGCCCAAGGCCCGGCACGAAACCCACAAATTTGGCCCGGGCCAAGCACGGCCCGGCCCGGTAGAGCAAGCCGTGCCTAGGCCGATACTCAAGCCCGCGGGCTGGCACGGCACGGCCCGGTTTTAAGGGGTCGGCCCGGCAGCGGCCCAACGCCGGCGGGCAGTGGACAGCGGCGAAGGCGCTAAGCGGCCCAGCCCACCCCCACGCCTGTCAATCCCCCCCCCACGCGGCACGTATAAAAGCAACGGTCGCAGGCGTCCCTCCTCAATCCTAACCCTAAATTATTTCCTCCCTCCTGGTTCCCCCACCGCCTCGCCGCTCTCGTGCTCGCGCCTCGCTGTCTCGCCTAGCTCTCCCTCCTCAACCCTAACCCTAAATCATTTCCTCCCGGCTGGCCGGCTCCCCCACCGGCCACCGCCTCGCCGCTCTCGCCTCTCGTGGTATCGCCTAGCTCTCGCCTCGACCGCTTGACGGTCAACACCTCGCCGTCTCGTCTGCAGTCTGCTGGCGTCCGACATTGTCGACTCCGACTCCGCCTGTCGCCGGCGACCTCCCCTGATCCCCTTCCTCTCTGCCTCTCCCTTCTCCGTCTCCCTATCTCCCCTCTAGATCTCGGTGATTATGTGAGTTCGTTGTCCCCGCCTGTCCCTCCTCCGCCGCTCGCCATCCTTGCTAACCGGTGTGTCGTCTTCTCTGGGTGGTCGTCGTCTTCTCTGGCACCGGGCTCCGGTTGCACAGGTCAAACCCTAACCCTAACCCTAACCCTCCTCTTCTATCTTCTTCCATTGATGTATTCTGATGTGATCTTTTCATCCTCCTCCATCTCTTTGCGTTGGGCGGTAGCCGATGCATCATCCTCTAGCTGTGGCATAGAGCGACCAAGGCGGCCCCGCGCACCGTTGATGAGGCAGCATTGTACACAGCTCATTTATCGTAATTATGTGTCTCTTTTGGTTCTTTTTTTTATTGGATTTGGTCATTTGAACTTAGATTTTATATTTGTGATTTGAATTGAGACGATGGATGAATGAATCTGTGGAACAGTGAATTTTGACAAGTGTTGGTTGAGATGATTTTTTTGAGGTGTTTTTAGGTTGCCGGGCTATGGGCTGGCCCGGCCCGTAGATTTGGCCGTGCTTAGCGGGCCTGCACGGCACGAATTTCGGCCCGTAGTGCCGTGCTTAGGCCGAAGGCCAGGCACGAGGCCCGTAGGGGCACGGCACGGGAGGCACGATGTGCCGTGCCGGCCCGAACCCCTGTGGGTCATGCCTGTCCTGTGCCCGTGCCGTACCGGGCGGGGCCAGCCCGATGGACAACTATTGGACGATTTAGTCCGCCACATAACTCTCCTAGTAGCTGGACACAGCTAGCAACCAAGCAGCCTCTGAATTGGTTAAGTCAGCCAATCGGTTCTAACAAGTGATTTCATTTTTACGAGAAACGTTTCTTTAGAGCTTAAACTCTGCCTACATAGACTATTGTCTGCTTGGGGCCATTTATCTCTGGTAAAAAAATAATACTACCATTTGTCCCCAATTATACGTCATTTTGGCCTAGCTTTATTATGCATGTAGATATATAATTGTCCAGATATACAGTAAAAGTTTTATATCTAGAAATATCATAACGACCTATAAACTAAAGCGGAGGGAGTATATAAATATTGTATGAGAATGCTTGTAGACCGACTTCAACATATTTACCATGTATTATGTCTATATATAAACTAACAGTCTTATCTTTGTGTTGGGGTTTCTATAGACGTGTGTATAGCCACATCAACATTGGCAACTAGACACTTGCGACGACTAGCTTGTTACTTTCTATGCTCAATGGTCGTTGTTTCACCTGTGTGGTATCAAAGCTTAGGCACCGTTTGGTTCGAAGGCAACGTGGAACGGGTTGGTCCTATCTCTGATTTATATGTCGGGATGACTCTATTTTCTTTTTGATTGAGAAGGGATGGGACCAACCTATTTTCTGTTCGGTCTAGACAAATCAAAAGTGGGATAAGCTGCTGACAAGTGGGACCCATTTGTTAGTTTTTTTTGTTTATTTTCTTTTTCTTTCTTCTCTCCTTATCTCTTTGTCCCCGGGTCCACCGCACGCGGCCCCTCGCGCTGTCACCGCCCATGTGCGGCCCATGGCGCCGCCACCGCCTGCACATGGCTCACCGGACAGCCGCCTGCCCGGAGCGCCACCTGTCTAGAGCCCCGCCGGCTGCCTGCCTAGAGTGCCAGCAGTGACCGCCTACCCGCAGCCCCGCCATAGTGGCCGCCTACCCAGAGCACCGCCTTGTCGTCGCAACCGCCGCCTCTTCTTTGTTTCCTACGTGTGCCTTCTCTTCTTCGCGCGCAGGCAGCGGCCGTCCCACCTGGGGTGACCCCGTCTGCTCGATTCACAGGGGCAGGGACGTCCCTCATCTGAGGTGAATATTCTCCTCAGGAATGGTCCCGTTCTCGATCATCCCCCAACCAAACAGCACAAAAGAGGGATCATCCCACCAACCAAATACTACCTTATATTTTTCCTATGGATTCAATTCCTATAGGATTAGAGGGACGTGCCAAATCCTATATTGTTTCTATTCATATACTTTTGCTATCCTATGTTCCAAAGGAGCCCTAACTCTTTTTGTGTCGGAGAAATACATTATATTCAGCGGTGTTTTTGACTTTCGGTTTTGGTACTATTGCGTTTTTGGCAAATTGGCTCCGTAGCACTTTTTTTTTAGTTTCATTCTTGGGTGTAACTTTAAATTTTAACAGACGGATGTCACTCTTATGACAATTTTGACAAAGCATGCGACAGTTTTTGAACAATATTTTCTTACGTGCAACTAGTCAAAATATTGTGGCACAGATAAAGGTACCACTAAAAATTTAGACAGCAAAAGAAAATATCATATCTTACGTCGTTGTTTATGTATAGCCGATGAGTTGGGCATCGTTGCTATTTTGTGCTTTTATGTTCCAAAGATTTGCCTACACCTCACCTAAAAACAGGGGGGTATATGTTGATGACCAAAAGTGGCCAAAGGACTTTGTAGCAATATTCTTGGCAATAACGAGCACAAAAATATATTGGATCATTGCAATTGAAATCTAGAAGTCAAGAAGGGCAGAAGGAGAAAGGCATCAGCCAATAGAACCAGCCTGGCCAGTTCCCAAATTGGCCAAGCCAGTTTTCCATGTGCCAAGTCTGCAGAGCCGCCCTGGTCGATTCCCGAACCAGCCAGGCCGGTTTCCCTATGTCTTGTGTTGTGGCTGGCCTCTCAGGCCTGACAAAACCTGCCTAGCCGGTTTGGGACCTAGCCAGGCCGGTTTCCCTATTTGAGTTCGAACCAATTACTTTTCAAACTGGTTTTCGGACGTGTTTTGGAGTAGGAACGTGGAGACTACGATTTAGACTTGTTTCCTACTGGGATAAAATCACCCATCTATATATATCAGAGGATCACGGTGGATTGAAAGATCCAACATGTACTCAATCGCCTTTTTTTACATCTATTACCTCTTTTACCCTATTTTCCCAATCTCTTGTCGATCGTTGCATCTCTCCGCAAGATTCAGCGGCATTCTAGATTGGCTTGCCGACCCTAGGACAACCTCAGGCGTGCGTGCATCTCCCTGACAGGTCTTCTCGGGAGGTGTTCCCGAGTTCTTGCGGCGAAGGACGGGCTCTAAATCGGCTTAATCGATCTCTAGATCGGTTTTGTTGATTCTAGGGTTGCTTACTATGTGTGTTAGGTCGTCTGCGACCTTGGGCATTTTAGACCTTGCTGGTGTGTGATCCAGATCGGAGTCAACACCCACCCTCAATCTTGTTTTTGTATGATGGGAAATAACCCACTCTAACAGTTCCTTATCTTAGCGTCCTATCCTATGTCTCAATCTCTCTGCGCTTAGGAAATCAGAGACATCAACATAGAATGATACGCGACCGATTACTCACCATTGTCTTTTTGCTTGACACTCTTCGTTGCCCCAATTGTCGTCGTCGCGCTCACCTGGAGATTTATCATGATTTGATCTCTGTCCATTATTTTTATATATGA